ACTAAATCTTTAATATTTTGTGTTAAATAAAACGGTTGGTTGGATATCTGTTGTGTTATGGTTAGTTGGCCATCAGTATTTTTGGATAGTTGGGCCATTGTTGGACAATGGTTGGTTGGAAAACAGAGGTGACATTTCTACCGTTGGCCAACTGTGTGGCTCCACAATTTACCAACGTTGGCCCAACCATCTGTGCTACATGGGATAACATCTGTTGACAACGAAGAACATCTTGTTCATTCTAACAGTAAAAGTGAACAGAGGAAGTTTCAGAAAATTAAAATTCTTATCTAGACAATTACATGATGAAAATGAACAGCAAGTTTTGGAAGAAGGAAAATCTTTGATAGAAGATAAAATAAAAGTATGCCAGTGTACCGGTCCGTACAACCACAACTCTAGTCACTTTTGTTTACAATGGAGCTGTTAGCCCCGAAACTATAGTAATCATAAAAAGACTACTTTGGATTGAAGACGTAAATAAGGTATTTAACCTATATTTATTATTATTATTATTATTAGAAGATAAAAGACCTGAACGTGATCGCAGAAAACCATTATGGATGATGAATGATTTCGTTTCATATCAAGCTGTGGATGTTTTTAAAGAACCACAAACATTCAATGAGGCAATTAAAAGTAATTTCAAAGAAGAATGGATGAATGCCATGAATGAAGAGTATATTTCTGATTAAAAACAATGTTTGGGAGTTGGTTGATCGTCCTAAGACTGAAAATGTGGTTAAACGCAAGTGGGTTTATAAAACTAAGAAAAATGTAGATATATTATGGTGATCGTCAAAGTTCAAATAAGCATGTCTTGTTGCTAAATGTCAAGAATATGGTTAAGAAGTTCATTGAAATCAAGTATGCCATAACTGAGTAATATGACGGCTGATATTTTAACCAAATCTTTCACGTGAAAAATGTAATCACTTTGTGACGGACTTGGGACTTAAAGACTCAGATTAAATAAAAAAAGATGTTTGATTAAGGGGGAATGTTGAGGATTTTATATAGTATTGCTTTGTTTTGAGCTATATAATCAAATATCTTTTTAAAGTATCTTTTAATATCAGCTTCTTGATTATGTTGTTGTTCTAATATGTTCACAGTTTGAAGAGTTAATGTATTAATATTTTTCCTTTTTTACATCAATTATTAATAAAGTATTTCATGTATTTTATTCCCTCATTTCATCAAAATGATTTAAACCTTGATCAGTACTCTAGTTTTCTAGGAGTAGGCCTAGGCCGCGTAAAATTACATTTCGTCTTCACAGACGGAATGACAGAATGGACAGAGTACAGACAAAACAGGACAGACAGAAATTTAGATAAGTTTTGGCTTTTTTAGGCTGAAACGTAAAAATAACAAAAAACTGCATGGTTCTAAGCAATGTGCAGACAAAACTGTAATTTTATTTATGATGCATAAACTATACAAATTGGACAAACATAGTTAATTTTATTTATAGTGGGGAGGTTGGCATGTAAATATTAAATGGTTATTGCCGTTCCTGTAATAACCATACTTTAAAATGTACAGTACTTTAACATTAGATTTAACGAGTGCTTAGGTTTGCTGCTACGGGGAAGGTAAAAAGTATTTTTTTGACTATACGTCAATCAATAGTATAGGTTGAAATAAATATAAATTTACCAAATTTTATCAACATAAAATATTCCTAAAACAAGTAATTTTATCCATAAGAATAACATGAAAATTTTAAATTACACTATTTTTGAATTTTCTCCGTGACCGTTAGGCATACAACAGCGCTTCAATATTTATATTATTATTATGGGGGAGAAAGTAAAAATAAATTTGAAGAGGTTGTAAATTTATAGTACTGTATTAATGATCAGTACATTAGTGACAGCCAACTCAATAATGTGTGAGAAAGAGAAACCAATTACTGGTACTTAGGCTACTATTTGTGCATTTCGGCTAAACAAATATAACATTTCTTCTTACTGTTGAAACTTAATAAGTAGTTGAGAAATCTGCTTAATATAGTTGGGAAATTCAAAGTGTCTCTATTGTTTGTGACACCCCTGAACACAGTATGTTTGAGAGGAATGAAAATTTCATACTTTGAATATGGATGGCGATATGGATATAAACATATTGACAATATACAGCAAGTAGACTTCTCTAACCAGAATCATATTTTTTTAGTAGTGTTTAATGTCCAATTAGCCTTGAGCCTATGAGAAGAATCTATGAGGCCCCCGGCGGCTCTTACCTGAGAAGCCCTTCTTATATTCTGATTCGTCGAAGGTTTAGAACTTGAGGGTTTCGAAATACACGTGGTATTGGTTGAGGTTAATATGGCAATAACCATAGTATTTTTTAAATATTTAGCTCTTTAAACTTTAGACGTAATATCTATATTCATTTTCTCTTAGTGTTATGTCAATTTGATGATAATACCATATATTTTAATCGATTTGAAACTAAATAGTTTGAACCCTTAGTTTTTTAATCATTAAATGTAATAATGGTGTTGAAGAGGGAAAAATTGTAGCTAAACAAGTTTTATAGCAAACAAATTTAATTTTTAATTTTACAAAAGTATGATATTTGTATTAAACAATGGAAACATTTAATATTTCATGAATTAATACATCATCTCTGGTTTGTAGAAAATACTGTACAAAAAATTGAAAAAAATAAAGAAGTTCTTTGATAATGTATGTTTATTTCAAACATCCTCGTTCAGTGGTTGGTTTAGAAGTACTTTTAAACACACTTCACAAATATTTTAAATTCCCCCCCAGAATATTGTTTTTTTAGGTTTTACACTTAAATTTGGTCTCGGCGTCTTTTTGTTCAAGGCAGATGTGCCTTGCACTGGGAGGCTAGATCAGTGGACTCTATGGTTGGACATTTCCATACAATTGGTTTACAGATAATAAGTTTTTTTGCAAATTTTCAATATTATCGAAATTATAATGATCAAGTTATAAGTTACTACTAATTATGATAATAAGTCTGAGACGCTACTACGCGCGTGGGGGTACACACTGGATCCCCTAATGAACACTGTACTAGCAACACAAGCACTCGCGTGGGGGTATGCCAGACCCAGGGGGTGATAACAGAACAATGACTTGGTCAAGACTAACAACCCTGAGGCCAGATGAAAAAATATGCTATTTTAGGAAGCTACTGTTATGCTCATCGGGGTTACCACCATGGTGGAATCCTTCCACCACCACCATGGGCTACCACCATACTTATAAAATTATTGCAAAATTAACGTATGTGGGGGTATGTCATACCCCCGCGCGCGCGTTTAAGGGGTAATGAAAACTTCAACCCGAAAAAGTGTGCAGTAGTGAGGTTAAGGTAGTATATTTTAACTTCTTTTAACCAGTGTGAAAAGTAACTTTCAATTACAGGATTACAAGCCTACCTTAAGGCTATGCCTCAAAGATCTATAAAGCAAATCCTTTTATCATTAGATATAAAATATGGAGTCACGATCGGGTGACATTTAATTGCGAAGCATTCGTTTTGGCTTGAAACTGTCAGATATTGTATTTGCGAAGGTTTATATATGCATTCCTATACAGTAATAGTTTTGCCAGCATATCTGGAAAAATGCACACTAAATATGCAAACCAATTTCTGTTCTGAATATAAGAAGGTTTCAACGTTTCAACTTACTACAAGATTCCCGTACGTAGAACGGGCACACAGCTAGCTAGCTGTAAAATAAAATAAAACGGTATATCATCAATCTCTGACACAAACTTTCTCCCATTAGCTTGTCAACGATGTTCTGTTATTTTATGGGTTTTAAGGAAAATAATATACGACAACCTTTAAACCGTATTTTTTACGGAAATGGGATTTGTATAGTTTTGTTCAGAAATACCCCCGCCGCAGCAAACCTGCCGACTAAGCGAATTTCCATTTGTCTGAATTGATTTTCAGTTTATTTAAATAACATTAGGGGGTTTAACGAGTACCTAGGTTTGCTGCTACAAGGAAACTAATAAAGTGTGTTTTTGAGTAAAATATTGATAGCTCAGTACAAAATAAATAAATTTGCCAAGTTTGATCAAAATATATCCATAAACAAGCAAACTACAACATTTGACAATATTCTCCATAAGAATAACATGGGAATTTTAAATTTACAATTTTTTTAATTTTCTCCGTTACTAATTAATAATCGAACAAAAATACTTTTATATACTAAATTATTTGTTTTTTTTAAGCTCTTTAAAAAGGTTTAAAGAGAAATCGGGAAATTTTGTGTTTTGAGGGTCAAAAGTGAGAAAAACCAATTTTTACCCCATAAAACCCCCCGTAAAGCCCCGTTCCCATGGTCCGATCGTGCTGGTTCGCGAACTCATTCAAGTTTATCCCGCTTTACACCTTTAAACCAAATTTCATCAAAATCGGACTAAAATTACTCAAGTGATCACGTTCACGGACGTATATATATATATATATAAGTATATATATATATAAGTATATATATATATATATATATATATATATACATATATAAAAATTTGAACGAATGGTGTTTTTGGCCTCTGGGGACATCAAAATGAAAAAGTAAATCGGTCCCGGGTCTAGGTCTTACCGTGCCACCTACGGTAATAGCTACTTCCCTATAGGGAAATTCGCTAATAAAGGCATACATGTTACAGTTTTATTTCTGCACGATTCAATTCCAACTAAATACAAAATTTACGCATTTTATTAAGAATAAGGTGTACTTTGCTTTAAATTTTATTCGAAATTGTTTGCATAATTTTTTTATAGTATGATTGTGAAAGTTCAAAATCCTTGAAAAGGTTTTTAATCGTACTCTGTTTCTAATCGGAACGGCCCTCATCTGGAACTGAAACTGGAAATGTTTATGATTTTTTTTAAGCTGAGCAAACGAAAACGAAACACGGGAAACACTGAAGACTGAAACGAAACAGCGAAGCTAATCAAGTAATCAAGCAACAAGCAAGAGTGACTGACACTGACACTGACACTTCAACTTCTTTCGTTTCGAGGGTGTAATATTATTGTTTTGATGCGACGTCTACTTAACTTTGTCATAATAAATCACTGACTTGGCTCCTAAAATGTCATCTTTGTCACTTCCACGTGTTCTGCAGCAACGGAAATCGAGTTTGGAAATAGAACGAGAGAATTTTGAGAAATTTCAGGTTTGTTTATTCTAGGCTATCAAACATTTCTTCGTAAGAGTTAGGGCTACTGTGATTAGTACAGACGAGCTTATAGTTTCTGTGCTAATAATTGGGTGAAACTAGGTACCTAATAGGCTAACCTAAAATACTTTCAAATGTATCATAGTATACTTGAATAGCCTAGACCTTACTTATAGCCTACTAGCAGAGTACCCGTCCTTCGTACGGGGTTGGCATATAAGTATCAAATGCTTATAGCAGTTATGAGTGAGGACATGGAAATTTCGGTTCTTTTTGAAGTTCGTTCGCTACGCTCACTCACCTTTAGGTTGGAGCTCGTTCGCTGCGCTCACTTTCCTTCAGGTTAGCTCGTTCGCTACGCTCACTTGCCTTCAGGTTAGCTCGTTCGCTACGCTCACTCGCCTCCAGGTTGAAGTTCGTTCGCTACGCTCACTCACCTTTTGGTTGCAAATTAGCTGTCGTCATAAATGTAAAAGAAATAATGCTAGTGCTGCACCCTGTTGGTAATCCTTGTAACTTTAATGCTATTGAAAATCATAGAACAGAACCAACTTGTTTAATTGAAACAGCTGTTAAGATTCATTAATTCCATTTCTCATAAGGTTAACATGGGAACCTTTGCTCCAGAGCCACTGGGGCGGAGCCCGGAAGGATTTTTGGGATAAAAATATGCCTATATGTTAATCGGGAATATGAGCTATCATCATGCCGAATTTCAGCCCGATCCGACCAGTAGTTTTCGCGTTTACTTTTCCCATACACACAGACACCACCTCTTTTTTATAATAGTATAGATTTGCAGGCCCTAGGCATTGAAACGGGGACACATCAAGTTAGGCCTATGTTGTATTAACACGTTCGCTGCTGACGACGTACTGGCACAGCGTGCTTACGACTCCGGTCGGAGTCACGGTGCAGTGTTGTACAAGCTTGTCTACTGTGAACTCCACATTTATTAGGGATCAACTAAACTATGTCAGCATGTTGTGCTGGTCCTATACTTTAATTTGGTTTGGGTTGGTAGTAAATTTCCGTAAATTCCACTCACGGAGTAGCCTGACACAGCACCTTCACCACTGCTGTTTTGCCACTGTCAAGACTGAAATATTTTAATGCGTTCGCTGATTCAAAGGCGCGCCGAGGCTGGGCCGCATTTCCTACTGTACTGCCAAAGAGATTCTTGCTGTGAACGTGTTATAATAAGCCTAATATCTGTGAGAGCTAGGAGAGCCCATTTAATTTAGGTCCATCTTGACATTTTTGTACCTTTTAACCCTCCGAGCGTCACTTGTCAAAAAATCTACTCACGACACACTTTGTGTAGTGTCACGCGTCGATTTTTCGACGCACGAACATCGTTTACGGCGAAGGCTCTGTGACTGACTGAATCGGATTGAACTGGATCGAGTTAGGTATCGTTCTTTTTGTTAGATTCGAAGCTTTCTCCAGAGGTCTGTCTCTAAGCGCTTTATGTTCTCCGAGCCGATCGTAATTGTAGCAGACAGCTGACGTGCGTATTTGTAAACAGCTAGGTTACCCTCGGACCGATGACTGATGTGTTTTATTACGTTTATCATTGTTTTAGTGTTAAAAATCAAAAGTAGTGATATACGTGGTGCATTATAAGAAGATTTAAGTGATTTTGAAGGGCTGGTTGATGATCCTGAAGAAGTAGGGTAGTGATATTGATGTAAATTATCAGCCAGATTCCTAGCTATGGTTAGGCTATGCATTCTTAGCTAAACGCTAAGTATGTACTGAAATCGGTTTTTTGCCCATGTAACTTATTTATTTGCAAATCTACTTCCTTATATTATTATATATTTGTAATCCTCATAAAATTTAGAACAAAGTGGCTATTTTCAAATATTTATAGGCCTATAATTTATACAATTTCATTGAGCGCGAACTTATTTTTTTTTTTGAAAATTTTCCAAAATATTTTTTTTTATTAAACCCTTTTTATTAAAAAAATTTTTTTTTTTTTATTATAAAAAATGTTTTTGAAACAAATGTTCCTTATGTTTTATGTATAATATTGAAGCCCATGATTTTCCAAACAAAATGGTATATAGAACAGTAGAATTAACATTGTTTTAAGCTTCTCAGATCCGTTTTAATAAAACCTTGCAAATGCGCCAAAAATAGGCGGACATTAAGGCCTAAACCATGGACACTCGGAGGGTTAAAAATACCCCCGCCGCAGCATAGGCCACCGGCAAACTAAGCGAATTTCAACTTGTCTGAATCAACATTTCACTAAAACATTTCCATAGGCCTAAATAGGTCAAGATCAGCGTTTCCATACGCGAGATTATCATCCTGAAAACAGGAGTTTTAGACCATGGGATTTAAACGAGATGCGGGATAAAACAGGATTTTTGGCTCTGATGTCTGTTTTTATATTTTATACATACCAGTAATTTAAGAGAAAATTTAACCCCAATTGATAAAACTACTGAAACAATGAATTATCTTACGGCAATTATTCTGTATGTCTACACTGGGAAAATATGTAATTTTTATATGTCTACAGCTTCTTTTCACGCTGAATGAAGTAATGCAATCAGTTTTTGTCAGAGAGATTCCTAAGTGGCTGTAAAATGATGGTTAAAATTATGAATCTAAGGTTCATTGAGCGGTACTGATGGTAATATGGCGTGGTCTGGACGGGTCCGTATGTGGGCTGAGTAATAGTGATGTAAATATTCATACCGTATATAAATCTGCAACATTGTACATTGTATTTAAGATTGTAAATCTGTAAATAGATCTTAAGTATATGTATCAAATTTTTATTTCATTTTGACTTACAACTTGTATACGTTGTTAATTCTTGCTCAATAAATTATATGAGGGTGAATGTGGGTAATTGTGAATTGGGGGAATTGTGAACTAGGGCCGTAATTTCTTAGTGTATTGTTGATTTGAGTAGAAATCAATGTTTTATGTTTATTTAGTTTGACTAGTGGCCTGTAGGGGCCATAGCCCCTAATTTAGACTACAATAAAAAACCCATATATATTCTAGAAACCCAGACAAATATTCTAAATATGTTTCTAAAATTATCAATTTTATGTTACTTAAAATTAACAGTGTTTCTTGTTTTATATCTTGGTTTTACTTCCGTTGGAGTCGTATATTAGTTGCTTCTAATGTGTCAATGAAATAGCCTACAATTGTAAAATAATGACACAACATGTTACAAATGGAAACGTGCACACAGTTGGCCTGAGCCCGGAGAACGACGAATCAGAGTTGAAATCATACAGCCAAAAATTGAAGATTTGTTTTGTAATCTTACGAATTCTGTTATAGTTTCCATTTTAAGAACCAAATGTAAAGGTTAAAATTATTATTAATTATTATCAAGGCAACTCCCCATTTGGCGGTGGTAAGCAAGAAATATATCTATGAATTTGTCCCTGAATTTTAAGACAGTAAGGCCCATTTCGCGGAATCTCTTTTTGTGTAGCGGAAAGCGACGCAATAGCCATTGCACTGTTGTATTGCCTTATGTTTTTTATGAAATACGAATTGCACGTAAAAACAGTTAGTTGTGGTTGTGGCATGTCCATTGTGGCAACATGCGTTGAAATGTCCATTTGTGGCCTCCTCTGCGAAGTGAAATGCGCCACAATGCATGCAAGTGCTTTAAGAGGACCTAGATTGTGAGAAACAACTCAACTCATTTTCCAGCGTTCTTATAAGGACAGGTTGTAAATTTCTAAAAACAGCTTCTGGATTTCTTTCACAGTTAGGCCCTACATGACATTCTCTTTTGTATTTCTTAAGTCTGTTGAATTCCTGGACACTCTTCCACGTCTTGCAGGTCTTCCCCTACCCTGTCTAGTTACGTCACTCATTATAAAAACGGAAAACAAAAAAATTAAACACAATTCATTTTGAAACATTATTTACCAACATCGACTTTTGGAATAAATGTAAACATTGCAAATAAATAAGTACCGGTAACAGCTGATAAAATGCAGACGTTTTTCAGTCCCCATGCATTTCTTATGGTGGATATTTTACGTTATATCCCGTTTTCTGGTAACTTTATGGGAATTCTGCTATTTTTCCCGAGTCCCTGGGGTCAAGACCTTTAATTTAAGACCTCTCCCACTTTTCTGCGACTTACCAGACGTCCAAAATTTTCTGGTAAAAATTTGGTCTTACAGAATTATATATATATAGATTTCTATACAGGATAAAAATTCTAGAAAGTTATGAGCCACTTCACATTTTTTTTAGGTTGAATAAAAAAAGTTGCTTTTTTGTTGTCAAACAAGTTGCGTAGACGTTAACAAATATTTTTTTTTCTGAAAAAAGTAAAAGTCAGATTGACATGAAAACCAGTCATTATGAAAGAATTTCAAATGTAGGCCTATAATGCATTATATATCCTTATACCTTTCATGTAAGCAATTTTCTTTTTATTTTATCAAATTCACAATTACCCTCAATATGTGGGGGTAATTGTGAACCTAATCCGCCTGTAAAAGAAACACTGATTACTTACAAGTTTCCAGGTTGTGGTCCAGTTTTTGAGATGAAAGCGGACAGGACAGTTAGTAGGCACATCTGTTAGTGATTTGATTTCTAAATAGGCTAGTTTTTAAGGGTTTCCAAGATAAAAAACCATTTTAGCGAATTTCCCTATAGGGAAGTAGCTATTACCGTAGGTCTCATGGTAAGACCTAAGCCCGGGACCGATTTACTTTTTCATTTTGATGTCCCCAGAGGCCAAAAACACCATTCGTTCAAATTTTTATATATCTATATATAGATATATATATATATATATATATATATATATATATATATATGTATATATGTATATATACATGTACATGTATATGTGTATATATATATGTGCATCCGCACGATAACTTGAGTAATTTTTGTCCGATTTTGATAAAATTTGGTTTGAAGGTGTAAGGCGGGATAAACTTGAATGAGTTTGCGAACCAGCATGATCGGACTATGGGAACGGG